GGATGTGAACTAAGTGGTCCCGAAAGACAAACTTAGTCGTGAGCACGTTTGTTAACTAGTTGATTGTTGTGATTGTTTTGTGTAAATAAAAAAAATCACTAACTTATGGAGGGGATGTTACGTGCTACCCCTCCTGTTTGTCTCTCTGTCTCCCTGCTGCACAGACACACCTGGCTCCGCCTCCCCCAGGTGTCCTAATTACGTTCAGCTGGGGACTTGAAAAGGAGAAGCTGGAGGAGAAGAGGTCTCTTCCCCGATCTTAACGCCGGAAGATGTTGTCCGTGGACTACCTCCTTCTACTGCTGCTTTAGGATCTGTAGATTCCTAGTGTTTTTGTGTCTTTATGTACTCTGGAGGAACAGGTAGTTTAGGTTTTCGCGGCTTTGTTTTCTCCCGCAGGGATTTGTTAGGTCTCTGGGTAGCGGAGGGAAGCTCTGGGTCCTACGGCCCGTGGTGTGGCTGGCCCAGGCCCCCTTCGTCTTTTTGTTTGTTTCCTGTCCTCCAGCGCCATTGTTCATTTGCCGGTTGACCATGTGAGAACGGATGTATCTGAATAAATGAACACCGTTAAATGCTGCGTGTTTGCTGTGTTTTATTTTATGTTGCGGGTCTCCCCAACGAGTCTCTACCACTAAGTAGACGGCGGGTTGTAACACTCACCATGTGAGACTCCTCCTGGCACTTGACCCGGACCTCGTTCAGCATGTCCTCCAGCTTGTGTTTCTGCTGGTCCATCTCTTCCAGGCGGTCCTGGGCGTCTTGTTTCTGAGCCTCCAGCTCCTGCAGGCTGGCCGTCTCTCTGTCCAGGTCATTCTGCATCTCCTGAGGGAACGTGTAACAAAAAGACACATTAGTACAAATCAAGTATCATGTGCCAAATCTAGGTGTTCATACACAAATTGCATGAGTTTGTATAAGAAGGCAAGGAGAGCACAATATTTCTCTGTGAACAAGTTCCCTTACCTGCACCTCTGCACTCTTGTGTCTGATGGCCTCCTCCGCGTCCCTAATGTCCTGCTCCAGTGTGTACTTCTCCCTGACACATACACACAAAAACATATACACACAAGGGCACTCGTGAACACATACAAGCTGAAATATAACAGATAAAGAATCCAAGAACCACCAACCCCCTGCTGTGTGCACAAATCAACAAGACAGAGTAACACGACACTGGACTGGGTTTCTGTCAAATGCACTGACACAGATTTATGAAAACTGACAGGGAAAGTAGAGCTGGGTGTGTCTGTGTGTGCCCCTATGAAGAAAGGAGTGTGCCTTGGAAATGTATTCTTTTAGATCCTACATAATTTCCTCAGTTTGGAACATTGTGTAGGTTGGTGGGAGAAAACAACTTTGTGAGAACAGCATGAATGTGTTTTTTTTTGGCAATGAACCAAAATGTCCTAGTATTTTGTTATCCTCAAAATAACAAAATACAGGTTTTTGTTCATGTTATGGGAAGATATGTGCATTAACATGACCATCGGTAAAAAAAAACTGACGTTGCTGTTGTGTCTCTATGGATAAAGCGGAACTTTTGGAGGTCTCAAAGTACAAATTATTCCAACTTTGACCCCATCTACAACTGACCTGTTGACGTGCAACTAATCAGATGCCAACTGTATGTAGTGACGCAAACTAGCAGGGGACGTAACCATAGAAACAAAACGTAACTAGCTGTTTTTACCCATATAGTCCACGGTTTCACTGCACCCAACCTCACGGTGAGCAAATCACGTTTTACTGTATGTGAATGTAGCTTAAGGACAATCCTGTTTTATTACATTAAAAACATTGGAAGATTTCCAAATTATTTGACTGACCCCAACCCTAACATTTTGAATGTAGTAAAGGGACTGTCAATTCTGTTCCCCAATCACTTTGTCTAAAATGGACTTGGGAACTGCTATCTTCAATAGTATGAACAGTTTTTATAATATCCATTTAGGCACATCACAATCATTGAAAAACTGTAAACCTATCCTGCATCTTGAAATAGGGCACCAAGGGGATATGAAATAAGCACATTTGAATTGGAAGGCCACTTATAACCACTATGAAAGAACAGCAGATGTCAGAACCACTGCTCATGTTGTGTGTGTCACAGTAGATTAGACAGAATGCCAGTCCATAGATGTACAGTAGCTGGTTTGGTTACCTGATAGTATTCCACTGGGTAAAGGCAAGTGTGCTGACGCAGCATGGAGAATAAGTAGTGGACAAACAAAATTTGATAAAATACACACATCAAAAGAAGATTTGGCTGGGTGGCTGGATGAAGCGATGGAAGGAAGAAGGAAGCGATGGGATGAGAGAAAGCCGAGATGTGAAGTGAAGCTCGTCCAGGTTTGAAAGTGCATGTTTGCTTTTCAAGTGTGCATTTTATCAGAGAAACAGGACCAAAGATGAACAGTTTATTTATACAGAGATGAGGGTGATGCAGGGCACTGAGACAAACGACATGACTCTCTGATTCTTTCTTTCTTTTTAGTATATATTTCAAGATGAGAATCCAGGGACTGGAGATCTCACATAGAATTGAATCTCCAATAACCACTTGCATGATTAAATGAACTGTCGTTCTCAGGTGGTGGTGGAAGTTGTGTATGCTATGTTTTGCACCGAAGAAAATAAAAAAGGAAAAATGGATGGAGGCATGTCTGATGAGATGAAAACAGCATGGCGGATACATTTTGCAGTGTGAGCTTTTCCTGTTCTACACAAGTATGCAGCATCAGGTTGGTGACACTACAACAAGAACATGTGGATATAAACTGAAACTTCCTTTATTTCAAGGCTATGATATATATCAGTGATGCAAACACAGGTATGGTGAAAAAAGAGAGAACTATTCGAAGCAGGAAAAAAACAGCGTAATATACCATCTGACAAAGGCCTGCGCTATAATGCTTCAATTAACTGCTATTCTTTATAACATACTCAGATCAATAGAGACAGAGATGTTAAGTTATAAATCAAGGGTTTTTAATATTATTATTTACAGCAGGGGTGGGGAACCTTTTTCCTTTCAATTTTTACAACATCCTCCGAGGGCCGTACAAATGATTGAACTCAACCTCTGCTTAAAAAAACTAAAATCACAGCCAATTCATTTGGCCTTTCTTTCATGCTGTGCAAAGAAAAAGCAACCTCTTAATCCAGATATCTCACCATGACTCGCGCATGCATGCATGTGCACGGTGTGGCATGACCACCCAAACAAAAAGATATGGACACATATTTAGTATCCTATCCATGTGAACATGATTTAACCTAACCTCCTCTAGGGGGGTCCGGGGGCATGTTCCCCCGGGAAGATTTTTTTTTTTAAATATTTAAGTTAAAAGCATCAATCTGGTGCACTTTGAGAGCAACATGAGGAGATCTATGGATACATCTCTCAACACCCATTTGAAACAGAACTGTAAGCAAATTTTTCTTTTTGGATATTTTACAAATCACTTAGTTTTAACAACCTTTTTGTTACTGTCATATAGTATTTTATACCTGTTTTTCATTTAGTCTCTAATGTCTCATTAATAACTATAATGATCATATCAAGGTGTGCCTTAACCTCACTGAGCTGAGGTCATTTGAGCCTCTCAGGAGAGAGCTCTCTTCCACCTGGTTGTAGAAAAGCTCTTTAAATTCGTTAGCATAGCTAGCTAACCAGATGCTAATAACAACAGATCGCCACTGTGCTTACAACTAAAGATACAGCCACGCAAACACTGCAGCATGTGTACGGCTCCTTATGGGTACTGCAATATTTGAAGAGCTGGAGCGGCGTTCCGGTGCTCTCCGTAAGCACTCTAGTCTACACTCCTTTCAGACGAGACATAACCACGTGAAGACACGTTACGCTCGTGTTGTGTTCAAGGAACCTGTCCTTGGCCAGGAAAAACAGGCACTCGCTTGTTTAATTATTTTGCGATCTAGATTTCTTCTTCTTTTTTGAAGTGAGAAGTTGTCCGTCAGTCGGACGGACTAACGGACGGACTGACGGACCCCCTCCCCCCCAAAACGAAAACTCTTCGGTTCTCCACGAATTACACAAGTCACCCAAAGCAGCGTTAAAAAAGCGGGAGGCGCCGAAAAGCGACTAATTTGCATCACTGTATTATGCTTTTGCCCTTCCTGTAGTGTGTTATATAGGTTGATGTGCATGTAAATGGTCTGCAAAGGCTAACATTCAAAAGTTCTTTCCAGAGGGAGATTCCCTCCCACACATCCCCCCGTTTGCTGTTGTTATTACTGCATTACGTTTTGGCTAAATACAATGTGCTATACTAACAGATAAGCTGTTACCAATGCTGCGATGCTTAAAATAAAACAGTTTGGATGTATTCATTTTGTTTGCCGCTTTGAAAATTCAGTTGCCGTGTCAGTGGTGCCATGTCATTGAGCCGTGCCACTGATAGAATTTGTTACCTCTGCAACTGTGCTATTTCCTGGCTGATGTCATCCAGATCCTTGACTCCGGTGAACTCGCCTGAACCCACTGAACTGGAGCTGTCCTGTACAGAGCCAGAGGCAGACCGAGAGAGGGAGAGAGAGAGAGAGAAAATAAAGAACACGCAAATTAAATCATATTTGTCGAAGAAGTGGGATTATGAATTGGTACCAACTGAACCATGGCAGACCAGGCCAAAGGAAGGAGAAGGAGGAAAAGAGAGGACAGGAGATAAATGCTCGGTGAGAGGAGCAGCACAGAAGGTGGGGCTGGGTCAACACGTAGGGAGTGTCAACACCACTGACAAACTGCAGAGGGAGGAAAGATTCAGGATTTTGCAATTGTATGAATATAACTAAAGCCTCTTTCATAACAGTTGTTCTCAAAAAGGTTCCAATGTTTTGTACACCAGCTTTTTTTGGGTGAGGTAGGATACATTTCTTGCATAAACAAACCAAAACAATTCTTTAGCTCCTGCTGGGTACACTGCTACAGTACATTATCATAGCACTTATAAAACGTAATTAATTCCTACATTTATTTTTTTCAGTTCCCTGGAGGCACATTCTGTGTACTACAAAACAATTAGATTTATTATACCTCGAAAATGCCCCAAACAATTTTTTCACCTCCATTTAAAACAACCACAAGCTAACGCCGCCTAGCAAACAGTCAGTGACTGATACTTCCTATGCAATCAGTTTTTAGTTTATTTTTATTTATCCATTGACTGTTTACAAAATAAATGATTTATACAGGATGCTATAGATTTGATTAATTTAAGTATTTAATGCCACTGTATAATGATTTAAAAAGAATCCAGAATCTTTCCTTGGTCAGCAGCTGGTTGACAGGGTGAGACGTCACATGGTATGTCATGCTTTCTAGTAATCTGTTGGAAAGGCCAGGCAGCCACTGAAAGCATTTATATGTTCATACAGGTCCATGTTACCTACCCACAACTTCAACATTATAGCCTGAGAGAGGAGGAAGAGGGGACGTTAGACACTTCAGCAGTGAAAGACTTACAGTACAACAGTGGGGAGTAAATATCTAGATTTACCTCATCTTATGTTTACCATTACTGTGGGTTACATTTGTAACTTTTTTCGAGGGATTTTGCAGATAAAAACACAGTATCTAGCAGACAAATGTGTACACCTTTAAGCCCAAATATGCTCAGGGAAGAACAAATATGAGAGAAGAGAAAAGGACTCACCCTTCTCATTTCAGACAGAGCAGCCATCTCCGATCCCACTGGGGTCATGTATCCTGACATACTCTGCACACAGAGAGACAATACTTAGTTTATGATTTTGTATCATCAGCAACAGGTTTAACTCATCCAATGTCAAAAGAGACCTTTGGAAATACATTAGCACTAAGTTTCCTGTTCTTTTTTGTAACATAATGTTATCATGATGCCATGCTGTAAAGGTACAAAGTTAACGATACTTGGAGTAACCAGCTAATGGTAAAACAATCACAGAAAGGAACAAGTACAATGAACATTACTATAGAGCCTTGGATGGACAGAGGGTGAAATTAAGAAATTAAGTATCTTGCTGTATTCATTTAACTTCTTATTATTTAACACAAGGAATATAAAAAAGAAATACGTAAATCCAGGATTGTGTGAAATAAAGACATTTCCCTTGCTACAATCCTAAAAAGGTAATAAGAGCCGGGGACTGCCCCAATATGTCATGACAACGCCCCTTGTTTGGTGAAAACATATGCGGTCATTTGACTGGCAGTAAATACAGATTCTGAGGTAAGGCAGCAGGCCTCAGGCCAACACTGAATCTGGGATTTCCTTGGCATCATACTTCAGCTGTGACGAATTGTTTCCCACCAACGTACAAGTATTGACTGACCATTCATTTTTGTTGTTTGACGTGCAAAACACAACAAAGAAAAATAAAAAGGCATGAGAAAATGTTTTCACCGGAGAGTGGGCAGGGCCATTTCGCCAGGTAGTGACATAGAGTTGCTCTCATCTATAGGGCTACACAATAAATGGAATCTTTGGTTTATCATTTGTTGGGCTTCCCACAATTAAATGAACCAGTAATCGAACCACCAACCTGCTTTACCTCCTGTACCCTATGAATTACATAGATACAGTATACTGTGTATGTGTGTGTGTGTGTGTGTGTGTGTGTGTGTGTGTGTGTGTGACCTACTGGTACAGGGGTCCCTCTCTCTGAGGGGGGTAACATGTCGGCAGTCAGGGCCTGTGGAGGATCGATGCCCTTGCTGACCTTCTGCTGGATGAGATACATGGCGAGAGCAAACTGCTCCCTGGTCAGCTTGCCTAGCTGCCTGGTGTCTGCCAGAGCCCTGCAGGGAGGAGCAGACGTTCAACAGAATTACATTCAGCTAACTCAATTATACTGAGCACACTGACCCCAGTGTGCGAGTCTCTCAGGGTCCCTACCATATGTGGGCCAGGAGGTTCTGAGAGAGTCCAGAGTGCATGAAGATGTCTTTTACTTCATGCCCGCTGACAAAACCGTCCAGATCGGCGTCAGTCTTCAGAAAGATGTCGTCATAGCGACCACGGTCTGACACTGGGACCACCCAGTTCAATGAATGCTGAAACCGAGATAGAGGAGATGCTCACGTTGAAATTCTTTGTGTCTTTGACTCAAAACAAGTCTTGAATTAAACAAATGTATGTTATATATGTTTTAATTAAACATAAATCTATTCAGAACAAGTCAATATGGCTCTTCTTCAGAGAGCGTTATTCAGGTGGTTATGGCAGATATGGCAGGGTAGAACTTTGTGAAAGGTTCTTCCCAAGAAACTATTTTCAAGGACATTTTCAATCATTGGGTTTTTACCGTGATAGTCATAAAGTCCGGAAGAGTGCTACATACAGCCATCAGTACAAAAGACCAATCTAATATATGTTTATTAATGTATATTTTTGTAAACTGTGTCCCAAACAGTGCACCACTACAGTGTTTATTTAGAACAAAGTATGCATTGATGTAAAGAATAATGCAATTTAAATATACTTAGTAGGATAAAAATGAACTTGTTTTATTGTGCCCTTGTAATGAGTGGTTTTATGGAGAGCCACAGAGTATTAAGATAGCTGTTATGTAAAGCCAAAGCAAATAAATAAAGGATTTCAAATGCAAATAAAGGTTTTAACCACAACGATTCCTCCAGTTTGAGTTATATTATGGATTATAGTGTCTGATTAATAGAGTGTACATAGTGTGTATTACCTGTCCAGACTTGAGTGTGTGTTTGGGCGACAGGCTGCCGGTGCTGTTGAGTGAGTTCATGCTGCCATGAGAGGGTGTGGAGCGTAACGAGTCTTTTGGTGGGGGGGGGCTTGCAGGTAGTCCAGTGGCAGAGCCAGCCACTGAGCCCAGACTCTTCTTCCTCTTGGACGGCGGGATGAGGGAGGAGGGGAGGAGGGAGGGGACCGGCTCCTTCTCCAAGGCCCGGTACACCAGGTGCATGGCCTAGGGTGAGCAGATCCTGCTGTTAATGCATTCTAACTGGCGGCAAATAAAGCTTTTAGAAAACTCATTTGGATCAAAACCTGGTATTTCCCCCCAGTCCAGACACACATTCTAATACCGAGTAAAGAAATCGATCTAGTATTTATTAGAGTTAGAGCACAACAACAGGATGAATTATCATAATGTAATTGTAGGAATTATCTCGTTTTTTTATAAAATAATTGCATTGTTGTGGGCCTAAACATGTTCAGAAACACAATTTTATTTGGCACAAAACATGTACATAGTGTATATGTACATAAAATAGGATTCTTTAACATAGGGGTGGGGAAATGACTTAACAGCGCCACCTAGAACGCAACGCCCATATGTGTGTTTGTCCTACTTGTGTTAAATTAGGTAGGTACATGTAACATGTGGCGACAGTGTCTTTACTGAAGTGACGGTATTAGCCGCGTTCACACCGCAGTACTTTTCCCACTTTAGTTCCGATATAGCTCCGAAATTTCGCGTTCGCACCAAAAAGAGCCGGAACTAAAATGAGTTCTTCAGAACCTTTTTATCCCCTTTTCCGTCCCTGCTAGAGAGCAGGGACTTTCGTGGGAGAAAATGTTTCCTATTTCTGATTGGCTAGGCGGAATGCAAACCACGCCGCGTAAAACTCCCAAAATGTTTTGTGAAGCCGCCATTTTATTATCCTCGCATTAGCATCATTAGCCTGCCAGTAAACCCAAAGCAGAAGAAGAAGTGACGTCAGCGGCTTCATTTGCCTAATCCTCCAGGGACTTATTCCAGTGTGAACGCGATCTAGAACTAAAGAGTTCTCATGAACCTTTGACCTTTGTGGGAAAAGTACTGCGGTGTGAATGCGCCTATAGGACAGGGGAGACGGAGGGGATGAAACGCGGAAAATGGTCCCAGGCCGAAATAGAACCCGGTCCCCAGTACGTGGACTGCCAGTTTCTTTTACATTAGGATGCCGTACTATAAAAAAACTCCCCTTACAGATTTCATGTGATTGACTGATTTTGTCAGTATCATATAAAGATATTTGTCTTTTAATCATTGAATAATCCTGACGATAACACTGATCTTAATACTGATCTAAATAATAGTAATTATCCACAGACCACCTTCTTCGGCTGTTTTGGGGGCACAGTTGTGTCAGGCTATAGAGAATCAGACCTAAAACAGTACAAATGTAAAAACTCACCACTGCAAACTCATCTCTGTCCAGGTGGCCATCTTTATCAATGTCACTCAGGTCCCAAACCTGACAGCAGGAAGTAAACATGATGAGATCATTCAGCGCGATGAAAGGAGTAACTGATCTCTAACATATGTTATTTCATTAATATGAATCCATGTTGGAAGAAAAGCAAGTTATTTGACAAAGTTACATACAACAGTTTTGTTAGCCACGATGACATTCATGCTACTTCATATTTGTCGGGGAAACAGATCACATTTATGTTCTGGTTAAGTATTTTAACCATCTGTCATAGAATCGACAAGCTTAAGTCAATACCTTCCCAAGGATGTCCAGAGGTAGCTTGGAGTTGATTAAGACTGGTTTCACCTTGTCTCCTGACAGCAGGCCATTGACTGGAGCCAAACTCTCAAAGATCCCATCAAATGTATTCTTCTCCTCGGGCTACAAAGAAACACACAGGTTATCTTCAAAGGCTGATCTTTACATGTTATACTGACCAAGCCTCACTCTGTCTTTTGACTTAATAAAGAGCTCCAGATTATTCTTCAACTGTATGGTTTACTACTGAGAGTTAGAGCATGAACAATATAATACTATTAATGCTGTCAAAATTATCGCGTTAACGGCGGTAATTAATATTTTGAATTAATTGCGTTAAAATATTTAACGCATTTAACGCATGTGCAGAAAGGCCCGCCCCATATATCCCACCAGTGGCAGCGCCAGGGTATGGCTGGGGTAGGCTACATTCATACCAAGAAATGGCTTAGCCCCATCATGAAAAATGATAGAAATAAAAGTCCGTCAACTCGCGCCGAGAATTGCACAGACAGCAATTAGTAAGACTCAAGATAACGGCGTGGGGTTGTTGCAGGAAGTCCCAACGGAGAATACTTTTGCTGTAGTACAGGGGTGCACATAACTGGTACGCAGGTTATGTGCGTAATCTGAAATGCGTACCGTACCAAGGATGAGTTGTGCCCCCCCCCCGCGCCCCGATCACCTAGTTGGCGAGGAGCACGTCCGCACCTTGCACACTAGTCGGCAATATCGACGTCAGGTAACCCTCTCAAAGGGAGCCGGGCAACCGGCATCAAAACGAAGAAAGCTGAGGGAGACACGTGTGCCGCAGCAGTAGGGAAGAACAAAACCTCGAAGGCATGCGAGCCATTGCGTTACGCGGAAACCNTACAGGGGTGCACATAACTGGTACGCAGGTTATGTGCGTAATCTGAAATGCGTACCGTCACTTGTGTCACAAAGCGCATTTGCGTACCGACGTACTTGTGAAGCTTTTCCATAAGGCAGTTAGATCACCGGATGACAGAGTCGGTCTCCGTGTGCACAGACAGGGCTGCTGTTAACGTCGGTCTGAAACGGAATTGTGCCAAAACTACGCCAACCGGCTGCGGAGGGAAACTCCCCCCCTTCAATGGAGAACTGCGCTAAAACAGCTGATCANTGTGTGTGTGTGTGTGTGTGTGTCATGAGGGGAATCATTCATTTTAGGGGGAAGACTTGGTTAGGGTTAGGCATGTGTTGGTTATGGTTAAGGTTTGGATAAGTCTCCAGGAAATGCATGTAAGTCAATGTAATGTCCCCTGAAGTGATGTATACATGGTATGTATGTATGTATGTATGTATGTATGTATGTATGTATGTATGTATGTATGTATGTATGTATGTATGTATGTATGTGTGTGTGTGTGTGTGTGTGTGTGTGCATTTCAACACACCCTGACAGCCCAGTGTAATTCGCTGGAGGGAGGAGCTGTGCTGCTTAGAGACGGACTGCTGGTGTCCTTCTGAAATAAGACAAACAAAGATGGCCGTCACGTAAATGTCACATAATCATCACTAGCTGGATGGATTAAAGACCCATCTTCTTCTCTGATATTGAGAATTTCATACAAGTTTTAAATGATACATATAATTAATTTAGAGTGTTGTAAAAATGTCAAAAGGTTTGCTGTTATTTACATATTGATGCAAAATACCAGAAAATAACTGTTGTAACTTGTTTGATTGTAAAGAATGAATGGGATTCAGTTAAGTGATGAAGTCCTACTCACAAACTTGGGTGGGGGGATTGTGAGGTTGAGGCTGGAGAGACTAACTTCATGACCATTCTGAGCGCAGGCCACCAAACGCAGAGCTACGTAAAACCCCTGAGACAGAAAACACACATTTTTATCCATTAGTCTTATTCTCTAACTCAGGGAACAAACACTGATTTAGCATGATGTATCAAAACTGTTATTGAGAAATGGAATAAACAAAACATAATTGAACAATATTTAAACATTAGAACAATTCAAATGTTCTCTTTGCCTTTTCAGATAAATGTTTGCTGAACAAGCATTAAAGGATTTGGGGTTGTATCTACAAATGTGGTCGTCTGAGATCAGGTATTTAAGCATAATGGCATCTATGGTGCTTTAATATTTCTCTGTTAAGCACATTCTCAAAGTCAGAGCACTGGATGAGAAGTCATCTGTTCCCTACCTGTTTGTCAAGATATCCTTTGCCATCGGGATCGGCCAAATCCCAAATCTGAAACACAAGACGCAAACACGCAAAAGTGAAGAAAGTATATCTAATCCAGTGATATATTTATGGATTATAGAAGTGTTTTCATTTCAAAATACTCTTTACTCTTCCTGTAAAACAAAAGCATTTTTGTTGAGTCATCTTGAACTCAGGGGCAGATTCATTAATGCTCAAACATGAGGGCGATGCCATCACTCCGTGGAAGCTTTCTGAAGTTGTCAAATGATGAGGAACAACTAATCACACAAGGCAGATATCCTTACTCCCATAAATATCAGTTTTCTGTAAATATGGAGGAGAAGTGATCATTGTATTGCAGGGCTACCATTATCCAAAGCTTAGGATCTGTCCATAACTTCCTATATATCTGAGTAGCATTGCTTCTAAAACACACATGCACACAGTGACTAAAGCAGAGACAAAAAACATGTTTTGGGAATACACTGTTGTCCCAAAGACTATATTAAAATGAATAATTTAAAAACAATGATTTGAAGAAGACTAGATGTTACAAGGAGCTAGTTCTGAGGGTTTAGCAACGTCCTGCGCAACCTGCTTTAGTGCCCTTGAAAAGTCAGCACGAGAGTAGGCACCAAGCAGGTGACTGATGCACATCTTGTCCTCCAGGCGATAAAAGACGCTGCGTGTATACAACACCCTAGATTTGGTATTTTGAAGGAATCTTTGATCATTTTTATCAATTCTCGCATGGTCAATAATGTTTAAATCTGTGTGGCAAATGTGATCAAGAAAAAAACTGCTGCAACAACTTGAGACTTGAAAAGGTACATAAAACAGCATGGGGATCGCTATTATATTCTTTGATTGTAATGTTGCAAGCCCTTATACCCTTATATATAGGTACCTAGTAGGCGGTGGTGGCGAAGTCCATAGGGACTTGGCTTGGCAGCTGGAAGGTCACCAGTTCAAGTCCCGGAAAGACCAAGTGCTACCGAGGTGTCCCTGAGCAAGGCACCGTTCCCTACACTGCTCCCCGGGCGCCGTACATAATGGCAGCCCACTGCTCCTAACAATAGGATGGGTCAAATGCAGAGAAACCGTTTCATTACATAGTACTACCTGTACTACGTAATGACAATGAGTTGAATCTTCTTAACAACTAAGTTCCAGATTATGTAAATCCCTTTTATTTGGCCTGTACTGTTGACCTGCAATCTTCCTCTAAAGATCCCCTTTCGCCTCCAAAAAAGAAAACAATGTTTCTTTGTGGATCTTTAAGGGTTCAAATCAATTATGATCCACCAGCAACTGCTAACAGCTGATGTATGAGACACTCATACCTCTCCAGCTCTAGAACAAGTTACATTGACACCCTCCTCCAGTACACAGAAACAGGGTAATCAACAACCTACCTTTCCCAATGTAATGTCAGGGAGTCCAGACTTCTTTAGGAACAAGGCAGCTTCTGTTGGTCCAACTCTACCCGTATTCCCAGGGTCCACCTTGGAGCAAACGTTAACATTTTGAGTGATTGAATTAAATAAATTGTAATGACAAATGTCATGCTTCCATATCCTAATGAACTCTCACTTAAAACATGTGATCTGCCATTCATGTGTGTTTCACAAACTACGATAAAAGCGTATTTGTATCAAAAATATTGATACACTTGAGTGTGGCAATATTATGTTTTTGCGATACTGTATCCGTCTTAAAAAAAATAGTACTAATGATTTGTGAAGATGGTTTACATGGTGACAGACAGTGGCTCAGATTGCACAAAAAGCTGGGCTACGATGCTGAATACCACAAGAACTACGATAAAGGCAATTACACTACTCTTATTGTATAAATATATAGTTTATTAATATTTGGCTCATCATCTTACCTGTCTGTAAAAGTTCTCATATACAGGGTTCCCACTAGATAACTGCGGCAGAGAGAAAAAATGTTAAAGCACTATAAACAACCCAATTCCCTTCTCTCTCTATATAAGTGAGGTTCCTTCAGCTAGATGTTCTGAGAGCCTGTTAGCACTATATTCTTATATTTACTACAACCTCAGAATGACCTTGCCACAATAAGCCATGTCAACTATACCAACTCAAATGCCTAGCTGCGCCTGAGTATCAATTCAGCTGAAATATCACCCAAGCACTGCAGCGCACAATCAATAACAAAATGAAATATTCCAAAATAACTACATTTCCAGTTATGACTGCTGCACAAGCACAGCAGGCTTGATGAATAACAGAAAACATGTAAGGGGATCAGATAAGCAGGATACTGTATTCCCTTACAGTTACGGAAGAAAGATTTGATCAAATGATAAAAAATTTAAGACCAATATCAAGACAACAATGTAACAATATATTTTAGGAGGCACATGCTTAAACCACAGCTTATCTACCAGTTCATTATCACAGCCTCTAGTTCAAAGAAAGCTTTCGCAGGGTGGAAATGATCCCATTATTTTGGGTTCAAATGGGAACAGGGAAATAACATCACATCAAATCAGTGCAAGCTGTGCCTTTCAGATGTGGATATACACTGTCATATCAAGGAATCAACCATCATCAAAAACTTGGAATTGTTTCCTTCACCTTTTTTTTTTTTTTTTATAAATGCAGTTGACAAATACTGTGTTTCCTTGATGAGATTTGTTTCTCAAGTTAATATTTGCCTTGTATTTAATACAAAAGTAACAGGTTACATTACTTTATATGGTGATACTTAGATTAGATTACTGTTTACATGTTTTACAGGTAAATTGTATTTTTAACGGAATACATTTTTTAAGAAACATTTTCACCCCCAGTAGACTAGAGAGCCAACTCACATCAGCATCATTAGCCAAAGCTAAGCCCAGGTTAGCTGAGGTTAGCCTAGCCTGACTCTTGTATAGCCTGCATACTATTTAGCATTCCTCCTGTTTAGCCTGCCTCCTTTGCCTCCTGTTTAGCCTGCCTCCTGTCCCTCCTTTTTAGCCTGCCTCCTGTGCCTCCTTTTTAGCCTGCCTCCGGTTTAGCCTGCCTCCTAGCCTCCCTAGCATGTTTATCACCATCCTCACTCTCCTTGACATCAGCGCTAGGCTAGCTAAGGTTTGCTAGCTGAAGGACTGGACGGTATCATAGTTTAAGATGCTATGTTAAGTTAACGTGCGCATGCCAGCATGTACCCAAATGTGTACAGTGTACGATATGCTTATTGTCTTTAAATGTGTAATTAGTCAGTTATTCGTAATTTTTTGTCGTAGGTAAATGGCAGCACGGCAACAGCTGATGCTAACAAGCCCGCTACATAACGGTACTGAAATAGGCCTGAACCGACCAGCTGACGGGTTTATTTGTAGCTGCATTTCAAAGCGAGTTCATGTTTAGTTCAAGTCAGTTTAAATTACAATGTCATGAACCGAATATACTGTGTCATGCTATAAATGATATTATCCTTAAGATGAAGTGTAGAGTCGTAAATTGCTGCATCTTTACCTGGGTGAGAGATGTGAGAGCTGCCATCTTCCCTGTTGCTGCGGGAACGCACCCACCCTCCTCTCCAGGGAAACGCTCCCCTTAGCGGACAAATCCATGCCCGACACCCGGCAGCAGCAAGCTGCCAACTCCATTCAATGATGCTCTTTTACCTTGCCAACTTTATGACATTTCTTCAAACAAATTGGACTAAAAAGTGCTTGCCATACTTGTTGGAGTTGTTTGCCCCATACAGTCATACAGGGTGTGCAGACTGTAAAAGCATGGCAATAAAAAACATAGCATTTACGACACAATCAAAGTTGTTTTTCAGCTGCTCTAAAGGAAACACTATATTTGTTTAGCTTTCAAGTGTAATTTATGAATTAAATGTGGAACAACTCATTACTTAATGAAAACTGCATTATTTAATATCCTGACCAAATGGATTTTCATTTATAAAAAATCGTTATAACAAATGTTTTGCTGCATTCAGCCTGGAATCACTGATTTAAAATTCCTTTTAAAAGATACATGATTTCAGTAGATTTACTATCTTTCAGTGGCTAAAACGACATCAAGCATGAGACTATTCCTCAGCCTTTCTAAATATATATAAGTGCGACTAACTTGTTAAAATGAAAGGCAATAAAGCAAATGGCTGTGTCATGGGACGATTACACTGTCCAAATATAATTCAACTTAAAATGTTCATGGTCAAATATGAGTGTAGATAACTGTCCAAAAACCATTGATAAGTTCAGTGCAGGTCGCAGGTGTCCCACTGCTGCACTCTGCTGTCCCACAGCTCTGTGGACTGGACTTGCAGCTGGCTGTTGTTCCATGAGAGTGTATCAGTAATGTGTTTGTTTACTGATGTATGCACGCAAGCAAACACAACATCAGTTTTTGAATTAGTTTTTAAGAGTGTTACCTTCTGAGGGTGGAATCCACATGGTGCCTTGCTGCACTTGGCCAAACAAGGATTTCTGTCCATGTGCCTGCATTGGACACTCAATCTGAAAATAGTTGCTATGCCTTTGATGGAGTAAAAAACTGGTTGAATCATTTCATTTGGTGTAGGAAATACAAATTATTAAAATACATTGTGCCATGAATACTTGTACCCTTTGATACAGCTCGAACCATTTCTTCTGCCTGGGTGCCGGCCTGTTTCCATCAGGCTGGACATCCACTCTGAGTCAGACATGGCCTTGTTTGGTTTTGCTTTTGATTGTGCCTTTTAAGACACATTCGTTAACATTTTTAAATGCATAAAAACCACAAGGGTTCAGAAACATTAAAGTAAGACAAGAGTTCTTATAATATATAATGTTATAATATATAGAGGTTCTTTTAATATACTGTATATCAGGTGTTTTAAGCACTGTTGAGAGGAGTTAACTGTCAGGTTTTCATGACAGAAATTGTGTTAGGTTTGGCCAACAAAACTAGCCGGTTTGTTAAGGAAAGCCTCTCCAATGTGTTTGAAACATAGCTCAGAATAGACCTTAATCATAAATACATATTTTTGTAAGAAAACATATAGGGGCATTTAACACAGTGTACATTTACAATTCTAATTATTGGGGGGAAATAGCCTAACTTTAACAATTGTAATCAAATAAAACAAACGTATTAGGCAGGTCAGCTGTGAATTTTTCTGATGTTTGAAAGAGGTGTGACGCGCACGCGCGCACGCACGCACGCACGCACGCACGCACGCACGCACGCACGCACGCACGCACGCACACTGCCAAGGCACACA